TGAGTGGTTATGAGTTTTGCTCCAACACGGCAGCTGCATCCACAGTCAGGCATACTCTGAAATCCACAGCCTGCATGACATCCTCACAACATCCAGCAAAACAGGAGCCACCAGCAACCAGAAAACGTACCCCTGGAGGGTCGAGGTTTATCGACGGGCATAACACAATGAGCACAAGGGGGAGGGACAGAAAGGGCTGTTGTTGCCAATTCAAGGGGATTCCCCCAAGCTGGCGGGGGGGGGGGGGGGGGGGCAGGGAGGAACGCTGTGTGTGAGGCTGCAGTTCCCACGGGGAGGCCATCCATCCACCAGGCTGATTAGCCACAGGGGAGAAGGGAGCACAAGCAGCCAGCGAACTGAAGGCTGCAATCAGCAAGGGAGATTCCCCGTGGACCTTGATGGCTGTGTGTGTGACAAACTCCATTTTCTTCACAGCAAAAGAACCCCAGCAAGTTATAATTCTTCAAAGGGCGTTTCACAATCTGGTCAGATTGTCAGATTTTTCAAGGGCGTAGGCCAGATTTCAACATTAATAAGAACTTAATCAGCCCCCCTCTCCTCGCGCCCACAAATACACACATCAAAATGCTGAGCAGTACCCAACAATATTAATTGAGCATTACATCAACACTATCAAATTAATTAGTAGATCTGCCAAAAATGTATAGGATTTCAAAGTAAATATATTAACATAAAGTCATAGAATTAAAAAATTGCTACAGCTGTAACAATAAATTACTTGGTAAAAGGGAAAGAAACACCTAAAGGTTTTTACATAACAAAACCACAACATATTAGCTATGTAATTTGTTGCCACACAGCTATCACAAAAAAACTGACCATTAAAACACATCCCAAGTGTCTGTCAGGAACCTGCACATTAGGGTGGATCTCAGTGTTATTACTCTCCATCCCTCGTTCCCCCTGGGAACTTTAGATAGGCTGACGCTGAGAGAGTGAGTGCAGATGAAGAAGGAAATAAAACACTATTGGGATGGCCCCTTTGATTTTGCAAAACAAAGGTCTGCAGAAGGAAACGTCTGCTTTTAATTCAACTCTGAGAATCTTGATGTGACAAAGGTTTGGAGATTGCTAAAAATATTGGTAGCGACAATTTGGTACTCCTACAATATTGGTAGGGACTTGTCCCTACTGTCCATACCGAAATCTGAACCCTTATTTTTGTATAGTCATGACTGATCAAAACCCCTAGAGTTACGCAAACAGGGATTAATTATCCCCCAGATCATTAATGGCCCTGCCCTAGTCAGGCTAGGTCTGGATGTTCTAGCACAAGAGTTTGCACAGAGCATATCAGGCAGGACATTCAGAGAAGCATTAATATTGTTCATTATTTTCTCTGCTCATATTTCTCTCTCAACTTTATGATCTAGGGTCGAATATCAACCTGCAGGTGTTTGTGCCTTATAAGTCAATATAATTATTTGGTTCAATTGAATTACTTAATCTGGTCTGCGAGCTGTTTCCAAAATGCAGGACTGTAGGATTATTGTCTTTGTGAATACAATATAAAATAAATGATATAACGTTGAGTAATGTAATACAAGCATTCGCATTTTGATCACAGTGATGGCAAAATTATATGACTATAGTAAAATTAATATTAATGTCTTTGCTCAAGGTTGTGACTGGAGGAAATTCAGTACTGAAGAAGTACTTGGGTTCAGTTGCATGGTATTAAGGAATCTGTAAGAATCGTAAGGCCTTGGAGCATTCTCTTAATATAGGACTGTACCTGAAAGGTAGCTAATTATAAAGTAATTTCAGGTTGACTACTAGGGAAACAGAACATGATACTTCTCAAGGGAAATGATTGTCCTTAACAAGCATCAGTAAATTCTTCATAGCATCAAAGTTAATTAAAAAACCTGATTCGCAAAACAAATATGTTGGGTAGAAGTTCATTAAAAACCTGTTTCACAAAACAAATATGATGGGTAGAAATGAGTTAGGAGGAGGAACTAACGAAAAAACACACCTTGTTCATCTCACCAGCTAATTGCCAGGTTTAGCAGGTGTGTTTGAACGGGGAAATCTGCAAACCGTGTTGCAGACTGGCCCTCGACGACCGTAACTGAGAACCCTGCTTTAAGCCAAAGTGACACAGGATGGGTCAGACAGTCCCTAGAGTGACTGGCATTAAAAACCTCTGCTAACCAAGGGACTTCACCCGGGGGCCTTAGGATCATATAGAAAGGGGAAGTAACATGAAGCACAATGAAGGAGAGATATACAGTTAGATGATTCAATAGCACCCATAGGACATTTACAGAATATTTACAATATTACACCTAGCCTGGGGGGTTATAGCCTTATAGGTGGCACCAAAGAAAAGAAAATGGCTGAATCCCAATATGCGTACTCGTACTTTTACGTCATCTTCCATTGCGGAAGACCAGTACCAATACAAAGGTCACAAGATCAGAGAGTGGTAAAAAAAAACCTGGATATTGGTTTTGCTCTGCCCCAAATATCAAGGTTGCATCAGATGCATTCTTGCCAAACGAGACCAATCCCATGACTCATTGTGTGCTGTTGCGATGGCAGAAGAAGAAGGCGTGAACCATAACTGTACTACTGTAATCGGACTTACTTTTCTGGCATTTCTGTCAGATAGTATATTCCCGCTGTTTTTCACTTTTTTGGTTCATGAGACTGCTGAACTGGAATGGTTAACACCTGCATATATATAGCGTTCGTACAGAGTTGAAATAAATACAAGTATTTTAAGTGTAAACTTTATTTGTGAAAACAGCTCAAGTAATCATACTAGGAATAATTAGTAACTTAGACTGGACATTTCCATTATGTGTCATTTGTTGAATACTACGATAAAAATGATGGCTGGGGATATCAGGTGGGTGTATAGCATAGTGGAACATTAAGTATACATCTGTGTTAAACCACAATTGGTGCATTCTCTGTCCTCATGATCTTGCAAGATCATTCTTCGAAGGCAAGTCCTCAAGACTGGTCTTGCCTAGACCACAAGTAAGGTCATTGTGTTCTTGGTATTGAGATTCACCCAATAGAAGAAGAACAATAAAGTTTAAATTCTTTTAGTCAACTAACTCCTATAAAAGAAAACAAACCAAAACCAGACTGACTGTGTGTCCTACCCTGTCCACCCAAATATAAAACAGAGAACGTAGTCCCCACCCTGTAGTCTAGTGTGGCTAGACATCTCACCTTTGTCAATCTGCCAGCGTGGATCTGACCGCAAATGGGCAAATTCTATCCTGACCCATAACCTGGCAACCGGAATATATAGTGAAGGAGCTTTCTGGAACAAAAGCTGTGCTCAAGCAAATCAAACTAAACACATGGGCACACAGATAACTACAGAGTTGCAAGGCAAGGGAGTGCCGTAGGTCATACTCTCTGAAGTTGGTTAATAGAATCATGGAGGTGGGGCCAGTAGCAATTAACCAATCCATGGGCACTTTTCCACCACACTTTCAGTACTTTCCATTAACTTCCGGTCGAGTACCAGTACAAAAAGTTTCAATACCTTATTTACCAAACCAGCTGGGGTACATTTTTGGTACTTTGGGGTGGGACTTGCAAATGCTTTTTTTGTCGATTGGTTATCCAAATAGCCTGCTTCTGAAATAAGTAAGCGCCGTCTTGAAAAAAGTTACAAATTCAATATAAATAAATGAAGTAAAAAAGTAATAATAATGCGTGGACAAATGAAGACGCCAAAGCTGTAAAAGGGCAATTTAATGCCATCTATACATATAGGTTGTTCTGCTGACAGTTGCCTAATGGTGGAGATATTGGTAATAGAAATATTGGTCTTCTCTCGATTTATAATGGGACTGAATGGCATTCTTTTTGCGGTGATTAAAACGATCTGAAAATACATTTGAAAAATTTAATAGCAATGTCACTTACCAGAAATCATGTCCTGGTTATTCAAGATCATCCAAAGACTTAGCAGTGAGCAGTTTAACGTAGGAACTATTTTCTTCGACCGAACTCCACACGATTGTATCACTGCGCAGAAGATGAGCATAAACACCCAGGCACAATCTTCTGCGATATGATTGGTGTGTGCAGGGTGTTCAGCGGAAGAACCCCTTAGTGATTTTTTTTTTTAACTGTGTGGTTTTAGGCCGTTGTATTATTGTGACGTTTAGGAGAGGAGATGGATTCTATTGTGAGTTTTTTCATGTGTAAATCAGTATAGTTAGGTAGGAGTGCAAGACTCTTTTTTTTTGGCCTGTCCATATAATTTATTATTTCCTGTTACTTTTGCTTTCTTTTAGGTGGATTCTTTCCTTCATTTCCCCTTATTTTTCCCCAATAAAACTGCCAAAACTAAGTATTACTTGGCTCTGTACAGTTGTTTTTTTTTGGGTCCTCTTTTCTCATATTTTATGTCTGGTCCCTAACCCTCTTCTCTACTTGTTGAGCTTTTCCTCGAAAGGGGTCAGAACACCAGAATTTCTCCCGTTATACCAAAAAGCAGAATATAATAATATTATTGTAATTTTGTTATATATTATTGTAGGGATCCCTGTTTTTTTCTTTTTCCCTAAACAGGTCATTTCAAACATCACATTTTTTAAATGCAGGGTTACCTTTCATTTGATTTCCAACGCCAACTTAAACTATGATGATTTCAGACAGCAACATGTAGATTTGCATTTTTTTGTGACCCAACATACCAATCCAGGGCTAAATAAACTACCTACAGTAATAGTTAAATAGATAATTGTCTTACTTTTAATTTAGGTTCATTTACTACAAATTGCTTGGTGAAAAACAGTGTATAGAGCAAGAAGTTACAAAAAAATCATTTTAAAATTAAACAAATACAATAGGTTTAAACTTAAATAACCACAAAACAAAGCCCGAACAAAACCAACCCTGAGAATTAACACTGACAATCACTCTAATTACTGTAGTCTATTTTGGTTAAATTGGTTCTTCTGCTGTCTGCTTTGTTGACGAAATAAAATAGACCACCTCCAAATATTCCACCAGATATATTATTATTGTTCACAAATAATCCAGTGTTGTCCACAATAACGGTATACAGAACCAGGTTCAAGTCTAAAATGTTTTCTTACAAAACTTGACATAAAAATATTGCTTGCATGTAAATTATTTAGACTCATTAACAATATTTATTAACATTACCATGACCTCATTATTAACATTTATTTATCCTGATGAAGGGTCGAAAAAAGTTCATCAGTTAAATCTAAGGCTGCCTGCTATTAATTACTGTTTTTATTGCTCTTCAATCACACCAGTTAAGGCAAAAAGGTCCAATTAGACGGTGCATAAACTCCTGTCTGGAGTTTTCACCCAATTTTAAATGTCATGCTACATTACCCCCGTGTGTTTAAGTTATTTTTAATAGCATTTTTGTACATTGTTGATTTGTTGTGTAAGAAATGGGAGGATTTGTACAAAACATCAGTATAAGAGGCTCTGGGGATGTCACAGTTCTTGCTGCCTGGTTTGCAATGTCACAAGCACAGTGCGTCACTGCAGTGCGTCACTGCAGTGCACACAGCTCCGTGCTGTACTGGTTCCCAGTCCCATGGGCCCTGCCATGTGGCCCATCCTCTTCTGCCTTACTGTCCCGCTCTCCCTGCTCCACCGGCGACAGCAAGCTGCCCTTCAGCTCCATGAGCTGCTCCTTCCCTTCACTAGAGGGTAGGTTCCCCAGACAGTACTGCGGGGCCAGATCCACTAACCTGCAGGAAAGATGGAGGGAAAAAAAGGGGGAAGCATGGGGGTTAGGGTGGGCACTGAAAGTTACAGAGCGGGAGAGATTTATAACCAACTAGAGTAAGAGACCACATTTAAAAACCACAAATGAATAGAAAGACAAACGAAAGAAGGACCATGAGCTGGTTTTCAAATGAGCTAAAGCCAAGAATCAATTCAGGCCAAATCACGCTTGGTCAGACAGCCACGCTCGCCGGGCAGCCTTACATTTGGGGCTGAATGTCAGAGACAGTGCGGATGCAGTTGTCATGGGAGATAGTGAAGTCATGGTACAGCACCCAGCTGGGCGGGTTGGGACGGGGACGACGGCACAGGTACGAGGAGAAGGAGTGCAAATGTGCCACGTGGCGGTGGGTTAAGAGCAGGTAGTTCCCAGAACCATCTACATCGAGGGCCACCTGGGGGGAGATGTCTGATCATTCACTGAACAGCAACGGCATCATTTTACAGCACCGGTAATTATCCACTGGTATTTCAGCACCCAGGAATGTGTATAATTTAATTATAATAAATCAATTTAGAGCTTCACTGTAAGTAAGTCGTCCCCACCTTGAGGAAAAATCCGGAAATGAGTGCCCGCTTTATGTTGTTAATATTTTCTTGGCAACCAAAGGCAGGTGCCGAGATGGGCAACTCGATTCGCTGCATGACGTCCAGCAGCTGTGCTCGAATGGTTACAGCTAGTCGTAAGGAGGCGGCATTGAGGAAGTTCTTAACACACCAGCCATCATCCTCTTGGTCTAAACAAGAACAAAAGGAAAGAGACGTCGGGCTTTAAAATGATCTATTCTGCAGGTACATAGCTACAGATCTCAGTCCAGTGTTCTTTAACCAGGCAAACAGCCGCAAAGTTACAGTAAATGTGTTTAGGCGAAAATAAGACTCACGCTGGACATACGCATTGAAAACATTGATTAGAGTGAAGTGATCCCCCTCTGGATGCAGCAGGAGACGCCAGTGAGTCATGGCTGCTGCTTCATTGTGAGGCAGTGGTGTTACAAAGCAAGGAGGAGCTGTAAAGAGGAACAGAGAAGAACAAAAATGAAGCTTAAAGAAAACACGGCATAACATACGTATTGTTGTAATTATGCCAGTGGTGTGAGTATATGTGTTGAGACACAATTTTAAACATACTGATTCAGATTTAGAACCATAAATCGTTCCAAAGAAGCATGGTTAGGTTAAGGAGTAAACGGAAATGCCAACTGCAAGTGTGCACAGCACAGACTACAGAACCAGATCACAAGATCCAATCAGATTAATCAGAACTGTGCGATGCAATGCAATGCTGTGCTATCCCAGTCATTACCAGAGAGCATAGCTGCAATGGTGAGCACCTCGCTGACACAGTCAAACTCGCAGGATGCAATGAGGGCTTTGGCCAGTGGAGGCTCCAGTGGCAGCTCTGACATGATGATTCCTACTTCTGACAAGTTACCATCATCATCCAAAGCTGCCAGATAATCCAGATCCTCAATGGCCTGCATCAGGGACTCTGGGGCTAGAAGTAGAGATGAGAAGGGTGCATTGAAGAGGTTGGATAAAGACATATATTGAAGAAGGGATGGCAGTAGAGGATCGGGGAGAAGATGAGACAAGACAGTGATAGAAGGCAGAGTCAAAAGAGTTAGAAGAAATAGACAAAAATAAAAAACACAGTTGAAGTGACCAACACTGAATGCATTTTTATTGTTTGAAAAAACATATATTTTCTGGTTGTACTGGATGATTGGTTGGGAGAAAACAAATGGCCAATAGCAGGAGTCATTCAGCAGAAAACTCTCACCAGGCCTATCGAGGAACTTGCACTGGCCCATGTCAGCTATGTCCAGCCTTTTCAGCAGGAGCACCACATGGCTGAGGTTCTCCTCCACCACACCAGGGCTGCGAGTCTTTACCATGACCTCATCGTACAGAGACTGGGGATAGAGCCGGAAACAGATTCCTGGAAAGAATCAGGGTTTAACTTGTCAAATGAGGATTCCTCACTCTCAGCATGACAGACTTTCACTGCCTATTACATTATACCGCATAATTTTGTCAATTAAGAAAAAAATCCACTTAGAATTGTATCCATTTTTGCAGATGGATATTTTTACTCAAATACTTTAAGTCCGGTACCCTAGTGAAGCATACGATAGCACAACTTCTCCAAGGACCTTGACAAGTTACTGGATTATTATTAAGTGACAGACACATCTTTTTCCAACTATTACTAGTCATTAGCTTGGCACTCTGGTTAGAAATGCTATTCTCCCTCTCCTCTTGACAGATTTGTCTCAGCTCACAGTACTGGGCAGAATTCTTAGGCAAAAAAATGATATTTAAATGATCTTCGTGTTTCAACAACTCCTTGTTTCCTAATTAATACCTCACTGAGTTATTTACCTAATTAAGTTAATTAACTTAGGTGAGCTGATGGCTGAAGTATGGTTGTACTGGATGATTGGTTGGGAGAAAACAAACGGCCAATAGCAGGAGTCCTTCAGCAGAAGACTCTCTCCAGGTCTATCGAGGAACTTTTTTTCTTGTTCATCGTTATTGTTACTGTTAATTTGCATATATCGTGGTCCTTTGTTTTAATTTTTATATTTAATATAATTTAACATTATCTTTATTATTTAAATAACTTATTTTATATTATTTAACATTATACTAATGATATTTTTTGCAGATTGAATCATTTTCCCTGCTAGAACATCCAGGCACTTTTAGAAACGACCTTTTCCCACACCCTACTCCACGCAAGACGGCTCTCTCTGAGTGTCTGAGAAAGTCTTCTTTCTTACCCCCCCCCATAAAGACCATTATTATACAGAAATCCATATATACCTGTCGGATGTACCTGCACTGCACTGTCTGCCACTGAGTTCTGTGACTCTGGAGCTCAGAGTGGGTTTGGCTGCCCTCAAGAGTCTGAGTCTTGTCTGGATTTTTGAGGGCTGGCGTTTTCAGGGCAATGTCTAAATCAGGGAGGTCAAACTCCGTAACTAAAGGGCCATATAAAAAGCCACCAATGAATCTGCAGACCAACCAAGGCTTATTTATTTAGTTAATAACAGTATGACCCAAACTTTGCAGTTATTTGGTTGAATTTTTAATATATATAACATTTATAAATGTAGACTTTGTAATAAAACTTATTCCTGAAAAGTGATTTACAAGACCTCTCTGAAGACTTAGAACTAAATCCCGAAGATACATAACTAAATCAAATGTATCGACTGGGCTGATGAACTGTTATTCATCTGCTTTTATCTGACATTATCCATGGATCCTTCCTTTAAATGAGAAATAGATTGAGTTTAGTCCCAATATATCTAAACAACCAGATTACAACTAGAATGTTGTGCTGAATTTTCTGCTAACTTGCTGCTGTTGAACTTGTCAATGGGGGGAGGGGCTGAAAGAGGAAAGATATAGTTTGGTAGGGAAGATTTGCACACGACGATCCCTGCTACCCAGGTAGAGCTGTAACGGTGCACATACTCACTGCGCGCTGTTCAGTTACATCATTTTCATTTCAATACCACAATGAAAAAATTATTACATTTCTTCCCACGGATGGAACCTAAATTCACAAGTAGATGTTCAACATGGAAAACATTCTGCTAATTGTGGCTGTGGGCTGGTTACAGCTAAAGCTGTTTAGCCAGTCATATTACTAATAATTATAACTAATAATAGTCCCAATAAATTACACCAACACCAGAGAAAGATCAGTTGATAAGACCAAGACTGTTTGTCATCTCTGTTATACGGAACTTGGGTATGTTGAAAACACATCAAACTCATGAGATCGACCAAGTTTATGTACGCCCAGAACAAGGCAGAAACAGCCTTTGCAAGTTAGTCTACCAACGGCATTTAAGACACTTTAGGCAGGAAATTCAGACTGAGCTGAAAAAACAAACACAGCTATAGGGGTTTTTGTCAATACAGATATGCGACCATATCTGTAGTAGTAGAGAACACAATTAAGAGAATTCATTTAATTCATATTATTCAGTATTATTTTCCTTTTTTTATTTTTAAAAATGCAAATAAGCATTCCTTATGTTTTGTTATTCAGACATGTTGCCCTTGGTGTACAATTGTTCCTGATTGTGCTTATAGTTTTAGTAATAAATAGTTTCAAAGCAAATTCAGTTTTACCTTTTGTACCAAAATTGCACTGAACTATAATTCCAAAAGCAAGGTTTTCGCTGAACCGTGAATTTAGTGTACCATTAAACCCCTAATCCCAGGTCATTTGATTTTTATTTTATTTTTTTAAACAGAGTATCAACATCATTTTGCAGACCATTAAGAATCATGCTGTGGACTCACAGGCATTGAGTTTGACATATGTGGTCTACGTGGTCCAAAGTACATTTCTATGCAAGTGTGCCACTTTACAATGAACAACAGTCAAATGAACAAAGAATGTATGTAAGAATTGCAATGCAGCAAAAATCGAAACCTTTTACGGGGTCAAAATAATTTTGAAATGCATTGTATCTATCCATGTGTTTAAGTATCACATGACCTGCTGCAGCAGTCAGGAATAGAGAGCTAATGCTAAAGTAGTCATATCCATTGAATTGTAACCAAAAGCCTGCAGACCTTACAGTATTTCTCATAATGGTTCCCACCTACATTTGTAATCTTTCCAGCTATTATATCAATAAATTCAAATTAAAATTAAGAATTGCATCACCACACACTACTTAATGTGCTCCTGCAGTTTTGTTTGTTAGCTACAATTCCAGGGACAAATATCACAGAGACACTTTAAAGGCGTAGATTTGTGACAGTTGCTGTTAATCCCTTATTCCCATTAATCTTCCACCCACTTACCAGGAGAACTGCTATTGACTCTATGGCTACGTATGTCTGCCTGGTCACAACTGATTGGTTGTAGTATGTGGAAGTTTGCTCTGACTTGTGGGTTGTAAACCTAAAGAGTGAGAGAAAATTTATTATTGACTTAATAGGATGGAAACTACATAAACAAACCAAATGCAATTTAACTGCAAAATGCAATTAAAAAAAAAAATTCTTACACTTAAGAACTGAATATAAGGAAGCTAAGGCTGACTAATGTATTTGAAGTTGGTGACAGCACAATAAAAAAAAAAAACAATAAAGGAAAAAAAACTGATGGGTTGTGATTGCTGAAAGTAACCATATGGAGTTAATTCCATTAACCAAACTTCTGCTGTCTCAAATAAAAGTGGCTTTTTGTAATAAAGCCACATTATGCAATAACTCGACAGAATGATATATACATGTTCTTCTAAATAAGACCAGCAAAATGGGGTGTTGACTGAGCAGAAGAATAAAAATCAGCATTTAAACTGGACAGAAATAATGACTTGACATTTATCACAATAATTATCAATATTGACTGATATGAAAAATGTTATCATGATAACATTTTTTGCCATATTGTCCAGCTCTAATATGACTCAACATTGGAAGAACAACTCAAATGCAAACTGCATATAGTGGTTTGTTAGTTTCAGTCATTATGTGACCAGCACCAAAACAAAACTTTCCTTGGCAGGTTCAGTTTAAATACTTATGTATCTACACCAAAGGTTTTGGCTACTTCAACACATGTATGAGACCCTCTGTTCCACTCCTCTGGTGTTAATGCATATTTTCCACACTAAAATAAATACACTATTTGGACAAAAGTATTGGGACACCTGTTCATTGCACCTACAGGAACTTTCATGACATCCAATTCTAAATCCATAGGCATCAATATGGAGTTAGTCCACCCTGTGCCACTATAATTGCTGCCACTCTTCTCAGAAGGCTGTCCACAAGATTTTGGAGTGTGTCTGTGGGAATTCTTGCCCATTCATCCAGAAGAGCATTTGTGAGGTTAGGCACTGATGTTGAGTGTGAAGGCCTGGCTCACAATCTCTGTTCTAGTTCATCTCAAAGGTGTTCGATGGGGTTGAGGTCAGGACTCTGTGCAAGTCAGTCAAGTTCTTCCACACCAAACTCACCCAACCATATCTTTATGGACCTTGCTTTGTACACTGGGGCACAGTGATGTTAGAACAGAAGAGGGCCGCCTTCCCCAAACTGTTCCCACAATGTCAGGAGCACAGAATTGTCCAAAATGTCTTGGTATACGGAAGCTTTAAGAGTCCCCTTCACTAACTAAAGGGTCTAGCCCAATTCCCCATACCATTATTCCTCCTCCACCAAATATTAGTTGGCACAAAGCAGTCAGGTAGGTAACGTTCTCCTGAAATGTGTCAAATCCAGACTCATTCATCAGACTGCCAGATTTGTCACTCCACAGAACACGTTTCCACTGCTCCAGAGTCCAGTGGAAGCAAGCTTTACACCACTCCATCTGACACTTGGCATTGTGCTTGGTGATGTGAGGCTTGCACGTAGCTGCTGGGTCATGGAAGCCCGTTCCATGAAGCTCCCGGCACAGTTTTTGTGCTGGGATTAATGCCAGAGGAAGTTTGGAACTGCAGTTATTGAGTCAACAGAGCGCTGGCAACGCCGCTCTGCTACTTTCCGTCGTCTGCCACTTCATAGCTGAGTTTCTGTTGTTCCTAAATGCTTCCACTTTTGCAATAATACCAATTACAGTTGACTGTGAAATATCTAGAAGGGAAGAAATTTCATGAAGTGGCTATTGCAAAGGTGGCATCCTGTGAGAGTACCACAATAGAATTCACTAAGCTCTTCAGAACAACAAATGTTTGTAAACCTGACTGCATGGCTAGGGGCTTGATTTTATACACCTGAGGCAATGGGTCTGAATGAAACACCGGAATTCAACGATTAAGAGGTGTGTCCCAATACTTTTGTCCATATAATATGTATGCCGAGGTTTTTCAACTCACAATCGCTGTCGGGATTTCTGCATTAGCACTATTAGTGTACAATGCCTGCGAAATATATTCATGAGTGCATCCATGCCTAGCGGATTAGCGTAGCGCACAACACACCCAGCCGCTGACAAACACATATGGTATTCACAGAACACAGAACAACAAACATGGACACAGTATGGAAGAACATGTAGTTCTGGAGTAACACATGTAGTCAAGGCTACAGAGAGAAAACAGACACAAAGTCAGTGATACACTGTTAAACAGACAAGCACAGCTAAACAGAAATTTCCAGGGGTACAGACTCACTGTCTTGAGCTGCAGGCCTGTGTCGATGACATAGCGGATATTGCTGAGGGTGAAAGAAGCTTCTCCAAGGATGTCAGTCAGGATGACCCTGCGCCTTGATTTCCCTGAGTTTCCTTGGTCCCCCGACTCCTTTACTTCAGACCCCGTATCGTATACACGCTGAGTGGCCGCTCCCAGGCCCAGGTGGAGTGGCAGCACTTTGAGGAACCCCAGCTGGGTGTTCAGAGCCACAGACTCCTTCTCTAACAGTGCCTCACACTTGCCAATCTCCTGGTTGCAGATAAGGCAAAGAAGCAGATCAGGGAGTTGCACACATCCAAACCTGCAGCAAAACATGATCTGGTCCAACATCCAAGTCTCTGCCCTGTTCAATGAAAAGTTTACATGCATAATAGCTGCCCCACATATGATAGAAACAAACAGCACAAGGGCACAAAAAACCAAAGTGCACAGGAATATGGCAGCAAAGGGAGGATTTGTTTGTTGTTTTTAGTGAAGTTCTTGCATCTGTCCTCCACATTCCTTAAGTTATTCATTTGTTGCAATTTGGCAATGCTAGAAATGACAGATGTCCTAAAAATAAAGGCTAGATAAAGCAGAAACGGAAAAGATTGGGGGGAGGTTAACAGACCCAAAAAGCCAAACTACTACTTTGTTAATTTATCTCAGTACAATAACATAATTTGTTGTACTGAGACACAAAAAAACAGGTGCCACAGTCAGTTAACAAAAACATTCAAGGGTACTATAGACATCAAAAACTCCACCATTTTTTCTATCATAATTTTAAAAATATGTGTTTCCAAAAACAAGCCACTAGAAAAAGCAATTAGAATTTGGATTGTGGGTAATTGTACATGTCTAGGTACATGGGATGTACACAAAACTGCCAGATTACGAGTGGACCGGTTCCAAAACCATCTTAATTCCACAGAGTCTGGGGGGGCACAATTAAGGAAAACAGGAACCAGAGTCAGATTAGAGTGGAAAAAACATATTGGAAAATACTACAAAAAATCGCTATAAGGACCAAGAACTGTCTGGGATCAGAAGTATACGTATTACGTATATACCTGGGCACTGGGAAGGAAGACCAGGATGTCACCTTCCTCTCCTCTACGATGGAGATCAAGGACCATGTGACAGGCAGCCATGGCAGGCTCTCTTCCAGCAGAGGGGTCACGGTACAGCAAATCAACAGCAGCAGATTGAGCGGGGTCGGGCACGGAGAGCAAAGGGACCTCCTCGCCCAGGAACGCGGCCATGCGGGGAGCCAGCAGTGGGGAGGTGAGCACCACCACGCGGAGCTCAGCCCTCTGTCGGCACACGTCCCGGAGCAGCCCCAGCAGCACATCGCTGGCCACAGTCCTCTCCTGGGTCTCGTCTATCACCAGCAGCCCATACTGTCGCAGCAGCGGGTCGGACATCATCTCACTCAGTAGGAGGCTGTCGGTCACAAACCTGAGAGGCCAGGGCAGATTCAAGACTTTTATATGTCTCATGCAGGACTGCAGTGGTACGTAAGCAGCAAAATGAAATTGCTACTACTGGGCAACAAACAAGGTGGAAGGGTAGCAAAATGAAATGACAAGTTAAAAAATTGTATTAAGAATATAGAAACAAAGTATATAAGAGATAAAAGTTATAAGGAAATATGACCAAATATTTTACGTGCAGTTTGCAGTTATTTTAGTTTTTATTGGGGGACTTAATGATCCTAATGGCCTGGGGGTAGAAGATAGAAGCTTCTCCTCAGCCCCTCAGTCCCAGCCTTAAGGCCCCGAAGGCACCTGTTTGAGCACATGGGGGGGGTGAGTGTCTCTGATGGTACTTAATGTCCTGGACCTACATTGTTTGAGGTAGATGCCCTGCAGCTTGGAAAGTTTTGTCCCGGTGATTCGCTCTGTGCACCATATCACCCTCTGCAGGGCTCTGTGGTCCTCGGGGCTGCAGTTGCCGTACCAGGCAGTGATGCTCTCAGAAAGCACAGATCCCATGGCAGTGCTGCAGATGGTTTTTTGCAGCACAGAGGAGATTTTGAATTTTCTCAGCTACCTCAGATGATGCAGTTGCTGCCCATCTCTCGACAACTCAATGGACGTTTAGGTTGTCCATGTCAGGTCCTCAGAGATACCTGTAGCAGCTAACTCTCTCCATCAGAGTCCTGAAAATCTTGAGAGGTATGTACTTCCTGTAAACCACAGGTGATGGGTAACTGCATTTCTATTTCCCTCATCCTCAACACTGGAGTCTCACAAGCAAGTCCCAGGTGTCTGAGCTTGGTAACAAGCCTTGGGGGAACTATGGCGTTGAAGGTGGAGCTATAGTCAATAAACAGCAGTCTTGCATAGTTCCCCCTTCCAATGTCCAGGGGGGAAATGATGGAGTGAGGAACGTAAGAGATGAAATCGCCTCCTAACCTGATTGGGCTGGTAGGAAAACTGAAGAGAGTCTAAAGAGCTGGGCAGAGATAAACAGATGAAGTCTTTAATGATCTTCTCAAATCACTTCATCACCACAGAGGTCAATGAGACAGGATAGTAGTCATTTAGACAGGCTGGGATGTTCTTCTTTGATACAGACACAACCGTGGATCTCTTGAGGTATGCTGGGATGACGGACTATGCCTGGCACTGTTTGAAAATGGAAGTGAACAGCAGGGCTAGATGGTCTGCCCAGGACTTTAGGACATGGCCTGGGATGCCATTAGGGCCTACAGCCTTCCCCTCATTCACAGGATTCTCTCCTCAAGTCATGTACTGAGACTGTCAGTTGGCGGTTCTCTGTAATGCTAATGCAATTAGCAGTATTTACGTTAACACAGCTATCTTCAAAGCGAGCGTACAAGTACAGATCATTTATCAGGGATGGATCTGCCTTAGCCACAGTTTGGATTTATTCTCATATAAAAATGGTGATGTCATGTCGATGTCATTTTGTTGATGTTGATGTCATGTCGATGTCATTTCGTTGATGTTGATGTCATGCAACCAGACCGAAACATGTCCCAGTCAACAACGCTCAGACCGTCCTGTAGGGCAGCTTCAGATTGGGCAGTCCAGCATCTGACCTATCGTGTAGATAGGACTTCTATAATTAGTTTCCATTTTTATTCTTGTATAAGTAAAATGGCGACATGGTCAGACTTGCCAAAAGTCAGTAAAGAAGTGGCTTTACAAGCCTTATTGAATAGTGTAACAGTGATCCAGTACCATATTGCCCCTTGTGGGACAATTCATGTTTTGCTTGAAGCATAACTTTTTTAAGGTTAGCCTTGTTAAAATCCCCCACTGTGAGGGCTGCGTCTGGGTGCTTCGTATTGTGTTTGGTGATCATATCCTGCTGAGTAGATAGAGCCACTGCTCAATCTGCTTGTGGTGGAATGTACACGCCGGTGATGATGACTGCGGTGAACTCTCGGGGCAGACAGAAAGGGTGATAAAGAATCATCAGAAGTTCCAGACCATGCGAGCAGGCGTGAGAGAGAATAGTGACATTCTCTGGATTCTGCCAGTTGTTGTCAGTCATAAAAGAGACTCTCCTGCCTTTATATTTGCTGGACTCCTCTGTTCTATCCAAGTGAATAATGGAGAACCCGGCTGACTGTATGGCATGGTCAGGCACTAGCGGGATGAGCCATGTCTAAGTGAAACAAAGGATGTTTCAGTCCCTTATGCCCTGCTGAAAACACATCAGGGACCTGATGTCATCCAGTTTGTTCCAGGTACTGCACATTTGCGAGCAGGATAATGGGCATTGGTAGACAGTTTGCTTTTTCTCATATCTGGTTCCGAACACCAGCTCATTTTCCTCAATGATATTTTCCTATGTCTCCTCTGAAGTGTGCTGCTATTGTTTTGGTCTACATCTCGGAGGAACTCCTTTGGCCAAGTGGAAAAGTTGCATGAAAAAGTTAGGAAGGCTATAATCTGATGTTTAAAAGCATGCTATAGTCATATGTGATTAGACCAGTGGTCAAGGAAGCAAAAAAAGGATCAAAACTACGTAAATAACAAATAAAATGCCATTTGAGTGGAGTAGATATGATGGCGCCCAGTCTCAGCCATGCCATGGAAGCTGACACTGAAAGAAAAGGGAAGGAGGTATCTACCTCAGCAGGGTGTCGGAGGTACAGCCATCATCATGTGGAACCCTGTATCCCACCTCCAGGCCCAGACTAAGGTCCATTTCATCAGCCACACGCAGGGCAAGACAGCTTGCTGCTGCAGCATAGGGCTGTGAACAGCACACCAGCCCAGAAGAAAAGTCCAAAGAAAAGGCATATTCCACACACCACTGCGGCACCTAGAAAAGAGAAACCCTCAACTTAATGGGCATATTCCACAAACCACTGCGGCACCTAGACAAGAGAAACCCTCAACTTAATGGGCATATTCCACACACCACTGCGGCACCTAGAAAAGAGAAACCCTCAACTTAATGGGCATATTCTACACACCACTGCGGCACCTAGAAAGGAGAAACTTAAAGGGCTGCCACACATGATAAACCCTCAATTTAAATGGCTGCCACACATGATAAAAAGACCCAACAGACAACATGTAAGATATACAGTATCCGGGGAGGTCTACAAAACGTCTGCCTTGAGAACCTCATTAGCACTAGAACTTATAGTTCCAACACAAAATTAAACTAACTGGGGAAGAATTTTTAAATAATAGGAGTCTGTAATAATGTTTCCAGCAGACTACTTGAATTCAATCAGTTTTATTTACATTTAACCTTTTGTCTTCATCATTTTTGCATCAGGTGTTAGTGTTAATTGTTTTAATTTGGGATTATGTTTCGAGCAGTGTAGTAGAAAATTCTATCAGATTTATTAACATTTGTTCTTCTGTTTCACTGTTATCTTGCATCAGTATCTCGGCTGTTTTAACGTTACCTAAGCACTCACCTGCGTGCTCTTGCCTGCCCCACTCCTCCCACATAGAACTATTATGCTGTGGCTCTCCAGCAGCTCCATCAGGCTGTCCTTAACACTCCAGACAGGTAGACGGCGCCGTTCCTCCAGCATGGTGTAGTACCGTGAGGAGAAGGGAAGCCCATCGTAGGGGTTAACTTCCAGGTCCCCTAGTACCTCTTCATCCCCCTCCGCCTCTGCCTCCTCCTCCAGCTCCCCTGATGGGAGTGAACTGACAGACAGGGAGTCTAGACCCGGCAGATAGCAGTCTGAGGCCGAAACAACAGGGACAGAAGACATCACTGTTGTCACCGGAGAGAGGGATGGGGGACAGTACACAGACGAATTCACAATTACCTGTGTGCAACAGAGAAAGAGACGTTAGAGTGCGTATATCCCCATGCTACCTTTATGTGTTTAATTGCACCGATTACCAATTTATTTTGACATTAGAACAAGTCACATTACAGAGGAAAGAAGAGAAATAAGCAACTAAATCCTGCCCTAACAGGTGATCATAGAGACAGGTCAATTAAAGGCTAATTCATACTTCACTTTTCTTGGTGCCTTTATGATCCACACACAGGCAGGTGGAAAACATGTCCGAAGAACCGAACGCATGCAGCCCAGGAGTCTCATTTCTCAAAGTGTGCATAGAACAGTTCCTAAATGTGTGCATACGAATCACTTTTTAAGGAGAGGCAAATTGGTATTTATCACTTGTGCGTACAAATGGCCGTATGAAATGAATGCTGACAAATCTCATGCATTCTAAATGTGACTGCATGCACAGCTAGGCTAATTTATATAAAGAAATGACCTCAAGCAACCATATACGGACATATTACTTCCGTTAAACTGAATTCAAGAAATGGAAACCGTGAAGAAAGGGGAAAAAATGGAACTTCACTGAGAACGAGGTTTTGTGTGACTTAGTAGAAAAAAAACAAAAAGGTATTTTTGGCAATTTCACCAGTGACCTATCGAAGAGAAAGAAGGACTGTGTCACCTGTAATGCCAATGGCGGCAGAGGTGAGGAAATGGTTCAGTCTGAAAATGACCACCGAAAAAAAAGGATCACAGCCCACAGATGCCATGTACGTGCCACAGGGGGTGGCCCAAGCAGCAAGACAGTGTCAATTCTGGAGGGTAAAATAGCCACCATTATTGGCAAAACAGGAATCAATCCCATTCCCTAACTGAAATCATTCCAGATGGTGATCCAGACAGCTCCACTACCCACAGAAGGCCAGGCCATCAGAAATAGGTATGATACTTTCACGAGTGCGTTTAACTGGCTGCAGGAAGTAATGTGTCGCACGCCAAAGTAGACCAACAAGTGGAGGTCGCCGACAATGAACTGTGCCAGACACGTCAGTGATCTTATAAAGCATTTATTTAGTGACAATGATATTATTTCTGCCTGTCTTGTTAGCCTCTCCAAAAATGGTGCGAGCTGCTGGCCAAAAATTGACCACACAAAACTGCCCTTGGCAGATGCAATTTACTGATGATCCATGCATCACTATCACCAAATAGATCTCTGCAGTCTTGTGATAGGTCTCCCATCCTGTGCCTTGTTCATTAGATTTTTTTTGGGCATGGATCTTATATGACTATGAATAATATATGAATAGTTCCTTTGTCATTAGCATGACCTGCCTGCTCATCCTTTGTGTGAACATAACTAGATAATTCTAGCTTGACAATTAATTGATGATTATTTGGGAGTCTGTGCATATCTTATGTGCCAATCTGGTTGCTTTAGTTATGCTACTTCACCACTAGGCAGAGTTCAGATCCAGACCAAGGATTTATTTCAACTAATCAGTTGAGCATAAGCAGTCACAGTCAGTACATTTACATGCACAGCTACAGTAAGTCGAGCTATGAGGTTATATCTCAACTACTGTATGTCATTTAATCGGACTACTGTCATTGTCCCAGCATACATGAACAGGAAGGGAATTGATTTAATGACTAAAGTATGTCCGACTACGCTACAATAGGTAGCGATATGGCTCCTTTCAGTTTGTTAGTATTGAGCATTTCCTGGTTGATCTATTACGTCACAGATATAAAAAATAATAACATTAATAATAATGAATGTGTGAACAAATTAAGTGACGCAAGCTTAAATTGTGATTCTGTCATAATGAATATTGGGGTATTTATGAAACAAAATTGGAGTGCAAACTAAATTTCTCACAAACCCATCTAGGAGTGATTTAAACAGCAAGGATGAAAATGATTATGATTGTCTTAGGAAACGCATACAGTGCTCATGCAAAAGCAGTGGAGGTAAACGTTAAACTGATTTTTAAACATATGCTATATAATTTTGAAAATGAATAATCATTAAAATTGCAAAACGTCCTAACTTTTTTTTCCTATGACATAGTAAAAATATTTTAGTGAGACTTAAACTCCCTGCGCTATAATAGCCGTACCAAATTGAAGGTAAGAAAAACCTGATCTTAATCTAGCTGACTGGTGATGTAAGAATTGGATGGGCATAACATGTGATGTTGGTATCAAGAGTACAAGATGTTATTCGGCGCTGGTACTAGGGTTGCAAAATTCCCGGAATTTTCAAAGATGGAAACTTTCCATGGGAATTAACGGGAATTAATGGGAATAAACAGGAATTAACGGGAATAAACTGGGAATTTTCAAAATTGAAGGTTGGCTCTTCTTAGGGAACTTAAATATAGTTGAGCAAAGTATATTTTAGCATAATATTGACAAAAACAAACA